AATTAAACTAGCATCATTAATAATTTAACCGTTAAGTATGTGCAAATTATTTTCATAAAAGCAAAAATAATATTTTATGCATGCAAATACAATCATAAAAATAAGTATTTTTTTATTTCCATGAAAAATAAATGTTTTTTTATTTCCATAAGAAACCTATTATGCTTATCGGATTAAAGTGTCTTTTTTTAACGGTTTCTCGAGATTAATACGATTTACGGGCTCATCCGTCTCGAAAAATCAAAGTTATTTTTACGGATGATCTCTCGCGTGCCTTTCGTTGATGATATTATGGAGCTGATTTGAATAACCATATTTACCAGCTACATCTTTGTTCGTATCGCGCGTGATTAAATTCAGAGAATAAAAATGTCTAAAGCAGCATTTGCGTCGCAAAATCGTGATTTTCTCGATCTCTGCTTGTTCTGCGATTTTGTGTAAATATTTGTCAGATTCAAATGCAACCATTTTAAACATATGCCACATGCAGACGCATATGCGGCAGGGATATTCGCTGATAATCTTCCATACGAGCATTATCATCGACGATAAAAGGAAAGGAACCGATAATTGCAAAACAAATGCATTAGCGTCAGGGTAAACTAAATGCTGCGATAAAGTCAAGCGGATGATCATCATTATCATCATCGATCCGTTATCGGTTTATTCAAGAATTAAAGCTTTGCATCAGGTGGTAATTTGCAAGGTGGCCGAATGCACATTGTACACAATCGAGTAACTGCATGTGCTTATGTTTCCTGATAAGGTCACGCCCGAGGTTTTCCATCTTCCTCTCTCTCTCTCCCTTCCTTTCTCTCTCTTTCTCTTTCATTTTCTTTCACTACATACATTATCCAACTGGTTCTGATTTAGCACCAGCTGGTTTTATTTGAGGAATTTTGACAGAACGTATTCTTATCTATCGCTCTCATTTTGCAACGCATGTATAAGAGGATAGATAAAAGATTCATCTTTAGATAGATCATATCAAATGCATATCGAAATTTTAACGGTGTATATATATCATCCCATTATTAATTCTCGTCCTTCTTAATTCTCGACACTTGATCGTTTTATCTGAGATAGACTATATACGTATTATTAAATAATTTTTCAAATTATGTCAAATACCAAATATTAAATTTTTGTCAAATCAAGTAAAAGCTATCAAATTTAATGATTCTGTACATGATATATTTTCGATGTATCTTTCAAAATATTTTCCATGATAATTGTATCTGCAGCTTACAATTGCATTACGATAGCATGTCGCGCGAATACTGCAGCACGTTTAATAACATGGTACAAAATTGTAATGTAAAACCGTTTTCATTTCAAACAAAGTTTTCAGGAAACTATTAGCATGCTATATTATATACGTTAACAATGAAAGAAATTAACGTGCCGCGTCTTCTTTGAGCTGATCGATATAAGAAATATCATTGTCTCATCTAAAGAAGCCGTTTCAATTCTTTCCCGCGATTTTTCGCGCTGTCTTTGCAAAGTCAGACCGAGAGTATAAACCAAATATAGTCGCGATATTTATATCAGATATTAATTATAATATTATTAATAAATATATTAATCATTAAAACATATTGCGGCATCTGAAACAAACGCGATCATCGCGATCACCTGGGTCTGCTTTCTTCGGGTCTCCGATCAGGCAATCCCTGCCTAGGCAGCATCTGAACTTAGGATCGCCCTCCATTGGGAACATACTAAAGATCGCGACATCCTCGTCCTTCTCCTTCGCCCGCCTGATCCTCTCATCGCCCACCGTCTTCGTTTGCAGGTGCAGCTTGCTCGACAGCCGTTCACTCAACGCGTCAGTGGCCATATTTCCTCTCGCTATTAAATCTTTCTCTCTCTCAAAATGTTTATGCCAAACAAACACGCTTGCATTCACCGGCTATTGCAAAGTTTACACGAAACGTGAACTTTTTGAAACAGAACTTTCTTTACTCGCTGCTCTGCGTCGAACGCGATTGGGCCTGACTTGCAATCATGGTCGAATTTCGAGATGAAAATTCGCGCGGATAAATTATGATTATTTTTAGTTTTAGTTTTTTTTTTTTTTTTTTAACGGGACGATCGTTCATCGAAGATTCATTCAAATTATTATTTTAATCCTGGGTTATAAATTTAATCATTTGTTTGTCCTATGGAATAATCAGTAATCGAATTAATGAAACGTCGAAATAAATCGCGAGGAGAGAAAGGAGAGAGAAAGAGAAAACCGGAGCCCGGTGCCGAATAATCAAACGTAGCGAATCGAACGTGTGCGATTGGGCCGAGGTCTTGCGAGCCACTGAAGGCA